GGGGGGTGTCCTCCAGCCTAGGCCGGGGAGCACCACACCTTTTTCCTTAACTCGTGGAAATGACAGGCTTTGACACAACTGAGAGCCCTTTGAAGGCTGCCTTGGAGTCGGAAGTGACGGAGGGCCCTCCTTCAGTGGGACTCCCGGCCCACTCCAAGCCTGGGGTTATCCGTCCTTTCTCCAGCTTCGTGGCGGCTTCGCTGGACGGGGGGCGGTCTGTACCGCCTGAGTTGCGAGAGGCCAGGGAGAGGAAAAAGTTGTTGGGTTCCGAGTAAAGATCTTGATTTTGTGCCTTCTTAATTGTAAATTACTTTTTTATGTGCGAGGTGGCTGGAGGGTTTGACCAGCTGATCCTCCCTTCTCCCCCAAACCCAGTCTTCACATGGCTTCGGGGACCCCAGACAGCAAGCCTTCCTCCCGCAGCTGGCTTTTCCTTCTTTCTGGGTCTCTAAACCACTTCCCTTTCCTGTCAGCTCTCCCCCATCAGTGATCTCTTTTGGGGCTCATGGCTTGACTGCTGACTCCCCTGAACTCCAGACCTACTTTTGGGTATTAACACACATTTCCACCTGCTGTGTACAAATGGGGACCTGACCTCCTTCAGTCCCATTCTCCCCACTGCCTTCCTTCCTCATCTCAGTGCTTCTAGGCACATGGGATAGACCTTGAAGCCACCCAATTCCTCTTATTCCCCACACCCAATCCTTGAGCAAATCTGTTGGCTCGCCCTTCAAAGTATATCCGGAATTCAACTCGACCTATTCCAACCATTACTCTGGTCCTGTTCTAGATTTTAAAAGACTGTAAGAAATAAATAAATGCAATGCAAAATAAAAATAGATATAAAAAGACATTTGGGGAACAATTGGGGAAATTAGAATACTATGATGCTAGATGATATTACGGAATAATTGGTCATTTGGGGTGTGATGCTGGCACTGGGCCATTGAGAATGTGGCTCTTAGAGGGGCAAGTTGACAAGTATTTAGAGGTGAGGGTCGTGAGGTCTGCAGCTGACGTTCAGATGGCTTTTATACGTGAGAACGAGCAAAGGTGCAAACTGAATGCATAAGCGGGTCTGCGTGTGTCCTCCATCCTGCCTTTTCATGTTTCCAGGGAGTTGAACATTCTCAGAATAAAAAGCTTGGGATACAAAGGTGAGAAGGACTGAGGATGGCCCTGAGTTTAGCAACATGGAGGCCACTGAGGACCTTAAGATGTGTTGCTTGGCCAGGGCTGGGGAAACAACCTGTTCAATTCAGGCTCTTGAGGACCAGAGGCAAACAGCCCATTTCTGCACCACATTCTGCTGCCAGGGGCATGGGCTGCAGAGGACAAGATGCAGGAGACCTGCTTTGCTTTAGTAGGGAGAAACAACTTCATTTTCCACGGGGAAGGATGGCACTAGCCCAGGAGGGAAAAGTGAATGATGTGGACCTTCTGTTACTCAGTGTAGAAAATGAAGGTAATCCAAACCCCACCCTGAAGTCCAGCCCACTCCTTCCCACCTTTCCCCCACAAGTACTCCTATTGGCTGTAACCTTTTTCTCCCTTAGTGGTTAAATACCAGTTATTTGCACAATTAAAATGCTGCAGGAAGAGCTCACCACCTCTCTTATCAATGAGGAAACTCATGCAAAGGGGAAGCAACTTCCCAGCCTACCCCAGAAACCCGGGCAGGAGCCAGGGCTGGGGCCCAGGCTGCCACCTGTCTGGTGTCTCTGCTTGGCCGTAGGGATCTCTGCGACCTGAGATGGGTCAGCTTGTGTCCCTCCCTGTCTCTGAGACTGGATTGTGGGCTGTTTGTTACCTTTCCCATACACCAGGACAGTGGTCTCCCTCGTGAGATAAAGCATCCCAGTGACAGGGCGCAGGGTTGAAGTCCTGGCTCCTCTGTTGTGACCCTCCCCATTTTCTCAGGTGACCTGGGCACAGTGGCACTGCGCCTAGTGTTCTATCTGGGTTGAATACTGATTTCTGCCACTGTGCTTCCTAGTCCGTTACCCCATCAACCCCTTTCGAGCCAGTGGCCACTCTTCCCTGAAGTGCCAGTGACAACAGACTTAGGTGTAGTGAAGACTAGAAGGGACCAGAGGTACAGGTGCCTGGGCCCCGCAATGTGCAATATGGCAGTTTTTCATTTGTTCACCAGTTAAGGATCTAGATCCCAGGCAGTTCTAGGCAATGGGAATATGCAGCCATGACCCCTCACTGACCAAGCCCCTGCTTGCCCAGAGCCCCCAAGGGGAGAAGGCTGACCTGGAGCCCATGGCTGTCCAGGCAGAGTCCAGGAGCTATTACTCCAACAGCCACTGGGAGTTCAAGGCAATCCCAGGATGGTCAGGTATGAACAACAAAGAACCAACCAAAGCAAAAGGGCAGAGCTATTTTTATTCAACAGTCTTTTACAGAACAAAACAGAATGTGTATGCAGCTGAACCAGGAAGGACCCCTGCCTGTCAGACTTCTGTGAGAACCACAGCGCCCCAACCCCAGCCCTGCAGGGACCCTCTGGTGGCTCTACACAGGAGGCCTGGTCTGGATTTGGCCAGTACTGTCCACCCAGAGCCCCCCTCCCCACTTTAGACAGCAGGCTCAAGTCAGGTCTCCCAGCATTAGGCATCCTCTCTGCCTGCTGTTAGGGTCTCAGCAGGCCAGACTGCTCTGGAAACTGCCTTCCACCCAGCGCCGGGAAGGTAGTGAACAGAGGTGACTAGGAAGAGTGGGCCACCCTGGAAATGGTTTATCTCCACACTCCTGGGTGAGCTGTCCCTGGGCCGACGAGGTTGCCAAGGAGGCCAGAGAGGCTCCCCAAGCGGGAGCTAAGGCTGAGAGGAGTGAGGCTGTGGTGGAAGGAGGGAGCACCAAATTTTGTTCCCAAGATCCTAGGAGGAAGCTAGAGAGGCTCAGGCATGCTCTGTGGGGTCGGGGCCGCTAGCATGGGAGTGGGCAGGGGCGGTGGCCTGCAGGGGGCCAGCGCTGGGCTCCGGGGACGCCAGCAGAGGGGCCGCAAGGCCATCAGCAGTGTCTGTGTCGAGGTCCAGCCTCCAGTAAGCTTCGCACAGAGGCAGATCATTAGCTTCGCAAAGACTGGAGCTTTTCCACCACCAGAAACCCAGGGAGACAGGAGCAGGCAGAGATGGGAGCCAGGGGAGGGAAGGCGAGACAGAAGCAGAGTTAAGAAAACAGACGATACTGCAGACCTGCTTCTCCCGTGTGGGCATTCCTGTCAAGCTCCACGGGGAGCCCCCTGCGTCAGGGTCCTTCAGCATCCTCAAGGGAGGAGCTGTCCAGGACCAGCTGATGCAGGTCTGTGTGACCTCAGCAGGTCCGTCTACTGATCTGCCAGGTGTCCACCCTGTCTGTCACCTGGCTGTTCTAGCCCCATCCTGTTCTGGCTGCCATCCCCATCCTGGCTCTAGCCGCCCTCCTCTTGCTGGGAGCGGCCGCTTCACTGGTAGTGGCGGCCAGGGTCTGAAGCTGACTATAGTCCTTCAATGGTTCCTACACTTTGCAAGGACCCCGAGGGCAGAGACACTGTCTTATTTCTGGGTCTCCCCTTGGCTGGCACTGAGCCCAAATGGGGTAACAGGAGCAGAGGCCCTGACGTTCCATCCTGTACCATGGTACCAGCTGTGCGACTGCAAACAGGCCCCTTGAACAGTACACCCTGCCTTCTCTCTAATGGAAGCTGGGACCCGGGACAAGGGTGTAGGGGACGAGCACAGCTCGCAGAGGCTGTGCAGGGGTGACGGATCCTTCTTCCGCACCCCGTCCTGCCCTGCCTGTGGCTCCCTCCCTCAACTTTCAGTCTCAGAAACCATCCTGGTCACACAGAGTGGTGGCCCAAGGACAGCAGAGGGTGAGAAGTAGACAAAGAGCAAATCATGAGTGGAAAGCGGGCGAGCAAGCATGGAGGCAGGCGAGCAGGGCATTGGGCTGCGGAGGGTGGAGGGGGACTCAGGACACACGCCAGGGGACAAGCAGGGAGGGTACACAGCCCACAGGCCCTGACTCACTGAGCCCTGGCCATGCACAGGCATCACAGATGAGGGAGAAACTCGGCCTCCTGAGGCCCCAGGGATGCAGGAAGGGCCATCAGGCTGGCCAAGCCCCTGTGGGAGAACCAGAGACTGATGGGGCAGGATGTGGGAAGCCTGGCACTCAGCCCCACTGAGTGACCTGCCCTCAACCTCAAAAGGCAGGGCTGAATCGCTGTCCTGGAGCTGCTCAGGCCAGAGGCCTGCCCTGGGGATGATGGGAGAAACATGGGGACATGAAGGGATTCTGCAAAACCAGTGGGGCTGTGAGCCATGTCCCCAGCAGGGGACAGAAAGCAGCATTTAAAACCCACCCCAGGAAGGACAGCTCTATCTGGCCGAGAGCACAAGGGGACCCGGACTCCATGTCTGCTGGACTGAGTCTTGATTTTCCAGGCTAATGGGTACAGAGGTGTAAGGCCTCCCAGTCTCTAGCCTCAGTTTCTCCCATGTAAGTTACACTTGGACTAAGATTTCTCAGGGCCCTTCTACCTCCAAGGCCTCAGATTTCAGGATTCTAAGTGGCCCCACGAGGGCTGGGGTGATGGGTCGCGCCCACTGCTATATCTCTGGGGCCCAGCATGATCCTGGCATGGAGGAGGCGCTGGCTCAGAGGACAAGGCTGAGCTGAATGGGAACTAGGTGGCCCATGCACCCTGGGCCCAGTTCTCAAGGCCATCCTCTACTTGGGATTTTTCCTCCTTCCCAGGACCCCTACGCCCCCCCACTGTGGGGGCTTGGTGATGCCCACACAGAATTACCTCCGTGGGCAAGCACTGGCATCCTGGGCATAGCCTGGGCAGCCAAGAAGAGCTAGCCCAGCCTTGGCTGGAATGTTTAAATATTGAACATTCAATATTAAAAGGAGTACACAGGTTCAGAAAGAGGCAGCCGGCGCCCTGGGCAGGAATACTGGCTCTGGCCCTCCCAACCCTGGAAGTTGTGTGAGTTCCATCCCAATGCCCAGGGCCCGGTGGACGGTGGAAAGTGTCTGTTGATCAAACGCTCTGACCAGGAGATCTGCTCTGAAACCAGGCACAGGGCTCTGCTGCCGAGACCAGACAGGGTTTGGAAACAGGACCTTCGGGGCTGCCGGGTGAGTCTGGGCCGTGCCTGCTGGCCGGGCCCACCTCTGCAGGTCCGGGTCCAGCCCTATTTGTACCTGGACGAGTAATACTCCTCCTCCAGCTCGTAGAGGTCGATGGAGATCTCGTCCCGCAGGGTGATGAGCTTCCGGTCACACTCCTCCTGCAGTGCTCGGAGCTGCTGGTTACGCTGGTCGATGGCCTCGTTCACCGACGGAAAGTCATTCAGGATGAGGAATTGCTTGAGGTCAGACACCAGCTTCATCAGGGACTCACCGGCTCGGACCTGTGGTGATGGGAACCAGAGCAGGCAGGTGAGGGAGCGACAGCACCCTTCCTCCATGGGCCTGATGCCCCAAGCCATGGCCTCAGTTTCCTCATCTGCAAAGTGGAGTTACAGCACTGACCTTCGCAGGGTCACTGTGAGAAGTGAGCGAGCCAGGAGGGAAGATACGGGAGAGCAGGGTCTCCAGCAGTCCCCTCGACTGCATGAAATGCTCCCAAGGCGGCCCGGGGGAGACAGCAGGTGCCATCAGCTCCCAGTCCCCACCCTCATTTGGCCCTTGGCTCTGACCTGGTGGTACTGATCTCCAATCACACAAGTGATGCAAGTGCGCATTCTGCTTCTCAAACCCCCAAAGCCCACAGATGAAACTACTATCCCGATTAACCACCTGTCCTCGGGGCAGCTGCGTGCCAGTTGGGTGGGTTCCTTTGGGAACTTTTCCTATGTGTTTTCATCCATGGGCACACACCTATGGAAATAACTGATGTGCCTGTCCTGTGACATCAGAAAGGACCAAAACGCACATCCCGTTTCACTTGGACATTTGCCTTTGTACCTGGGACGAATCTCCGGAACCTTTCTCGTCAATTGCATAGCACTCTACAGGACAGATGTGGCCGGCTCTCTGCATGCCCCTCACACACTGCCACACACAGCCCTCCTGAGGGGGTCTCCTAAGAAGTGGTTTTCCCCCTACCCAGGAGACCACAGTGGGGACCCCAAGGTGCTGGAGCCCAGGCCAGGCCTTCCATCGGGTGACTTACGATGTTCGCTGCTCGCACGTGCATCTCATAATTGTCCTGCTCGCCCTGAGTGGCCCTGGACACCTGCGTCTCATCCTCAATCTAGGAGAGATAATAAAGTCTAATCGGCAGGGCAGGCACCGGCCACAGGCATTTGCCAACTGTACCCACCCACACTCCACACACTGCCTGTCTTGCTCTCTACAGTGGGCAATACTACCCAGACCTCAGGTGACATTCAGCTTCCTTCTTGTTCTAAGGAGAGCACAGGCACCTGCGTCTGGACAGACAGATGCCTACGCATGCTGACTGCTGTGCCAGGCGCAGGGAGGTCTTGGTCGAGTCTTTTTGGGGTGTGGAGTCCTCTGCAGGACAGATAGTGCCACTAGTTCGGGCGCTCAGTAAACTGAACAGATGAGTAAAAAAGACAGTGATTTTTTAAAAGTGACCATTTACTGAGCACTTCCTGGGTGCCAGGCACTGTGTTAATCCCTCGACCATCATTATCTTACAGAATTCTCACAGAAGCCTGGACAGGGCCATGGGCCTGCTCAGTGTATCTCAGATGGTAAATGCAGGAGCCAGAAGTCCAGCCACCCTGTCTTGTCCAAGGCCCAGGCTATTAATTGCCCCAGTCCATCCACCTGGACAGGGCTTCCCCAGGGGGGAATGTACAGGCTGGCATCAGGGAACCCGAAGTGGTTAAGAGCCAGACCTGCTGGGTTCCAATCCTGGCTCTGCCAGTTATTAACAGAATGATCTTGGGCAAGTTACTAAATCTTCTGAGCCTCAGTTTCCTCCTCTGAAAATGGAGAGACCAATGCTACTTGCTTCAAAGAGTCTTGTGAAGATTAGATGGGACAGGACACTAGCCCTCCCAACACAGCCTGACGTCCAGTGCACACTAAGCAAACGCTAGCTCTCACCATTACTGAGACTCAAGTCTTCCAGGTCCACAATGGTCACGCCAAGATCCAGCCCCACTGAGCCCAACGCTGACCGCTCAACCTACCCGGAGGGCCCTTCCCCAGCTTCTCTTCCTGACAGTACCCACTCGCAATGCGATGATGTCTGGGTCCCTGTCAGGCCTGAGGTAACCACTTTACATAGATAAACCCATCTAGTCATCACATGGGCCCTATGACTCGGGAAACCAAAGCACTGAGAAATCAAGGCCCTGTCCGAACCCACTGCTAGGAAGTGGTTCTGGATGTTGAACCTGGCAATTTGACTAGACCCCCCCTACAGCTGTCTCATCAAGACCTGTAATTAGCTGGTTTTATCTGCTGACCTGTGTCATCATCCATCCCCTGGCTGCCCACCCCCTTCAATTTCTCCCCATGGGGACGAGGGCCTTGCCTGTGTGTTCACTGCTGCTGTATCCTCACCACCTGGCTCAGAGCAGTCTTGTGACATTCTTTTCTTAAAAATGTTTTTATTATTTCAGAGAGAGAGATAGGAACATGGATGCATCATCAGCTGCATTCTGCACCCCCCCTGCGGGGGATCAAGCCCGAAACCCGGGCATGTGCCCTGGCTGGGAATCAAACTTGCAACCTCTTGGTACATAGGGTGACACTCAACCACTGAGCCACACAGCCCGGCTCTTGTGACACTCTTGACCAGAGCAGGCCAGTCTAGAAGGTGCAGGAGACAGGCTGGCCCCACCCACCTTGGCGGTCTTGATGATCTCCGTGAAGTTGTCCATGATGGACTTGATGTCGTCCTTGAGCCGCTTGTTGTAAGACTGCAGCAGCGTCTCCTTGCTCTGCGGCAGGGCTCTCTGCTGGGCCATGGCGGGACCTCAGCGCAGGGAGCAGAGGCCTGGGGCCGCTAGTCAGCACCTGGGACCCGGAGGCTGATGTGAGCAGAGCCAACCCCAGCCGCCCACCCTCCGCGGCCACGGAAAACAGATCTCCGGGGATTTCCTTCCTGACAAACGCGTCCAGTCATTCGCACGCAGGGGCACTGCGCCCTCTCCCTGGGAAAGCTCATCCCAGGGCTCCTGGCAGGCCCGCAAAACCCTGCCCGGTCCAGCCCAGACTCCCCTGAGGCCAGGCCCACGCGCGCCGTTAGGCCTGCAGGAGCG